GCTCCTCGGCGTGCCTCGCCTTGATTCTGATGGCTTGACCTGCAATGAAAACCGGGACTGCCGCACCAAGAAGGGTCCACCAGGCATCCACCATGGCTGCTATCAAGTAAACTTCTCTGAAAGAGTAGACAAATATGTACAAGTCCTCTAGTCAGATTACGAATTTACACAAATTCTTCAAGTGCATTGATCCAAGAATTAATGAAGAGGGGACAATCTGAATAGTCATCATCAACATCATCAACATCAACATACCCAGTATATTCCCAACAGGTTGGGGTCTGGGGGGTCAATTGTACGCAGACCTTACCCTTGTAATTATACAAGGAGGCTGTTTCCATAGCGACCCAAGGTGCGTTGCGTCGTTTGATATATTTTTTTTCTAGAAACTTCACTAATAGAAGAAGCACTAGAATTTAATTGAGCCATTTTGATCTAGTCCATTATTAGCATTATGCCAGGAGAATTGTCAACAATGACTCTTCCAGCTCCATATGCAATGGACATAAGGGACAATCTGAATAGTAAGCCAACTAAAAAGGTTTAATTTTTCACAACAAACAGGTAATGGACATAAGGGACAATCTGAATAGTAAGCCAACTAAAAAGGTTTAATTTTTCACAACAAACAGGTGAGTGTAAGTATACCGATTCGTTCCGAGCTCTCGGACAAGGGGAAAATAAAAAAAAAAACCTACATTTCTTCCCTGGAGCATTTTCACAAACAGTTTCATACACATCTAAACCAATATTCATATGAGTAAAACACTCAAGACCAACTATAATTCCTTCAAAAACCACCTGAATTCGAAAGAGGTCTCACAGTGATACTTCAATAACAAAAATATGTACACTTGCTCGTCAGTGGACTAAAAATTGTGGAATTAGAAGCAAAAAAAAAAAAATGACGAGTAAACGAGGAACACAAAATCGTCTTATCAGCTTAGAAGGCGGAGCTGAAATTTACCTACAGTACAACCGCGATGTGGCTTCTACGTGATACACTCTAGGCGGCGGAGGGCGGAGAGCGCGGCCGGAACCCTGATTCTGAACGGCGGCCAACGGTGGGGATGATAATTCAAAATGGGAGTAATCAACCAAATAGAGTAAATAACCACCTATAGAGACCCATTTGAGTCATGGGCCTAATTGATTGGGCTACGAAAATACTCATTCTGGGCAGGCCCATCAAAAGGATCTTCAATCGGCCCACATATATAGAAGGACGAAAAACCTCCAACGTATCGACATTCATATCCTTTCATCCCTATCAGAGGTTTTTGTTGCTTTTGTACAGTCCCTCCATAGATCTCGAATCAATGTCTTCTTTGGGAACATCAAAAGGAATTCTTGAGATCGCGAAGTTCGCAGTATACGTGAGTGTGCCGATTGGGCTGATGTACTTCTTCGCCAGCAACAACAAAAATCTCCAGAAAATTATGGGAAATGTAAGCATTTTTTATACTGTTATGCCTCTCGTTTTGCCGCCGACATTTGTTTAATTTGAGTTTACATTAGCTGGTTTTTTGTTTTGCTGTGTGTTTGGGCACAAATTGAGATGTTTTGGTTGCATTTGATCTGGAAGGAAGCATTTCTAGGTCAACCAGTTCCGTTACCGGACTTATTCCTGTTGGGGTTTGTAACCCATTAGATCATCATGTAACCGGGATAGTTGACGGGCACAATTCCCGACGGAATGGTTCCGTAACGAGACTGTAGTATCTCCCATAAATGATAAAAATTTTGGGGGTTGAAGATGATTCATATTTGTTCTAAGGGTCAGCTGTTTGTTAGGCTTTGTTAGTGATCCGACAGAGATACTTTCAAACTAAAATGTTGTATGCTAAACATTACACAAAAGTATGACATTTCATCATATCATAAGTGTGCATTTTTTGTTATATTCTAGCCATTGACCACCTCACACAAGAATTTGCGTTTGAGGATAATCTTCGTATATGTTGTGATAATACTCTTCTTTTATTTGTCATTTGTGTGTTGTGGAGGAAGTGAAAGTTGAAGAATGTTGAACGAAATCGATGTTGAAAGTGAATATTTCATTAGAAGAACTGATGAGAAAAGTAGTTAGGTTTAGTAATTTATGTTTTGGTGCAAAGCCAAAACATTAGTTATTGCAAAGTCAAACATTGTTTAGTATTTTCACTTTCAAAAAACTGATGAAAGTGAATTTTGCGCGTAGGACAATCTTTTGGTGCAAAGTAATGTCGTTTGCATATGCGTAGGATGATGCAAAATAAAACGAACTTGAGCCCTTCACACATACACTATGTAGTTGACTATTGATCACTTAATTTTGTATTATTTATTGTACAAAGTAACTTTTTAGTATATAACGCAAACATATTTGAGCTAAACTCGGTATCTACTTGCACTTGTGAATATGTTCGATGTGTTTGTTGCTTTTATTAAGCACTAGTGTTGAGCTTGGTGGTAGATGTTTTGATATGGTTGTGCCTTCTAAAGCAAGATTCTCATGTTTTGTGAAGCGTCAATATGTGGTATACCCGCCTGAAGCCCCACGGCCTCCATCCCCTGAGGAGATGAGAGAGATGGCCCGGGAATTAGCCCGCAAGAGAGATGGGCGCTGATGGCCTTTTGTGCAAGAAACCTATATGTTGCTTTGGGCTCACTTTAGTGGCCCGAAAAGCTTTCAACAATGGATACACGAAACGAAATGACGGTTACTGGTTGGAATAATTACGTGACAAGCGCAGTTCTGTAAATTGTTGTTGTGTATTCCTGTTACTGTTTTTCTCTCTTTTAGATGATGGATGAATAGAAGATGCAGAACAGTTGTGGGTGGAGTTACACTTCCACATGGCTTCTCTCTCGTTGAAATAACTCGTGTTTGTGTGTGTGTTTGTGTGTGTGAGTGTGTGACAATTTTATGTTATGTTGTATCGTGGATAAGTAAAGAGCATTCATTTTCACCTGCTGCATAACCACAAACAGAAATAAGGGACAAGGTGGATGAATCATATAGCGTATTGAGCCATATAATTGGTATCATCGACAAAATATGATTAAACAAAGCAAGTGATACTAAGGTCTCGTTACGGAATTATTTTGTCAGAATTTGTAACTGTTAGATCATCATATGTAACCGTCATAGATAGTTGATCTAACGGTTACAAACTCCGAAATTATTTCGTAACAGTATCGTAGCATCTTCCAAAAATATAACATGGACTTTGATACAAGACCAACAACGTTAACTAGGTTGCAATAATTGAGGCCATCAAATTCAGTCACAAGTCCATTTGTCTAAGTACACTATGCAGAACTGCAAAAGGTCCAACAAAACACATTTCATAGAAAATTCACGGGTCAAAAAACCTATATTTTTTTTACCTTTTTTTCTCAATTTTTTTGCACAAATTTGTTCTAGTTTCTCCACCAAAATGACGTGAAAATGGCGTACAAATTCGAAAGTCAAGCAAATAAACCCAATCACACTCTAAAATTAAAAATTCATCAGACGGCCCACATAGGTTTCTTTCCAAGTAAATGGAGAGAAAAAAAATCACAAAGGGTAAGTCTGGTTGACCTTTCAAGTCAACCTGGTCTATCCTTTTTTTTTTTTTT